CTGAGGCAGATACTGTATGTTTCACAGATAAGGAAACTGAGGCCCAGGAAAGTGAACCAGCTTGTCCAAGGTCACATGCTGAGGAAGACAGTTCAGAACCCCATCTTAGGCACTACAGTACTCTTGCTCCCTGTGCTTCTGCACAGAGCCCCTTCCAGAGCAAAGCTTGTGGCATAGGGAGGACAGGGGTGGCTCTGGCTTCCAGTTCTGCCAAGCTGGACATATGAGAGCAGACACCTTAGGTGGGAGGAGAGAAGAGTGGGAGGGCCCATGAAGGTGGGATTTGGTCTCTTTGTAATGTGGATTCTTTTTTGATTGTCCAGAAAGAGAGAATTCGAAGAAGCACAAAATAACAGGCTGTTATAACGGACAGTAACTTTTTGGCTGTTTCGCCTCAAGCAATTCATGAAATGCTATTAGAGGTCCTCAGTCTGACATCTAAAAAGCTCTGAAGTCCAAAGTTTTCTAAGCTTGTTGTAAGCAAGACCTGACCTGAACTGTCATGAGACTGTTTATCGACATTATTTGTCACACTTAGTACAAATATATTTGTATTTCCTTGCACAGTCATTGAGCATGGGGTACTGCTCCAGACACAGCCATTTTTCCTCTGTCCTGTCAGTCAGCAAACATTTAATGAGCACCTACTATATGCCTAGCTCTCTAGGCACTAGGGTTACAGAGGTGACTGACACATGTAGTCTTTGCCCTTGTGGAGCTTAAATCTTAAATTCTAGTGGGGGAATGAATTTAAAAAACATCAGGTAAACAAAATAATTATATTTTATTAGACATGCTACAAAGAAAACTAACTATAGGTATTGTGTTGAAATAGAGAATGCTGGGGGACTCCCTTTAGATAAGATGATTAGGGAAGGACTCACAGGTTAGGGGACTTAAGCTGAGACCTAAGTGTGAGAAGGAGCCAGATCTGCATAGAGTCTGGCAGGGAGAAGCAGCAGATTCAAAGCCTGAGGTAGAAGAGAGCGCAAGGAACTGATGGCAGAAGACCACCATGGTTATAAATAAGGAATGAACCTCTTTGTTCTTAAAGATTTTTCCTCATTTAGAGTTATTTCCTTAGGGAAGATGCCCAGAAGCAAAATTATAGGGTCAAAGGATATCAGCATGTCGAAGACTCTCAGTATATATTAAATTTGATTGAGATTTTAAACTCAATCTGTGATGTAGTCTAAAACTAATGAAAAGTGAAATAATTCATCATTGTGTGCAGCGGAGTACATAGTATTCTACAGTTGTGTCTCCTGCAGATCACGTGCCTCTTAGATAATATTACCGGATATACCAAAGATGTGTAGGTACCAGGAATGATTTTTGAAACGGTCATCTTAGTATCTGGATTGAAGAACAATGGTCTCTTTTTTCCCACTAGGCTGTGAAGCTCACCAGCTCTCGAACCCAGCTACCTTATGAGTATTACTCACTGCCCTTCTGCCAACCCGGCAAAATAACCTACAAGGCAGAGAATCTGGGTAAGTTCTCTCTCACTGCTGTCAACCTGTCCCAAGGGGACCCCAGATCTTTTCATAACAATACCCTTACATAGCACTTACTATGTGCTGGACGTTGTTCTTTACATGGTTTACATACATATTAGCTTATTTAATCCTCATAACGGTCTTCAAGAGGTGGCTGCTGTTTTTATTCCTATTTTACAGGTTAAGTGACTTGCCTCTGGTTATACTGTTAATCAGCGTCTAGGCTTGACTTGGAATGCACATAGTCAGGCCTCAGACTTGAAGCCCTTGGCTATTGCTTAGACCAGCTCTCCCTTGATTTCTGAATATCATACTGTCTCTCCTGTGGCTTCTGTAACCTGTTCTGCTTTTAACTGATTTCCCATTTGCCCCGAGAATAGTTGCCAGTAGTTTTTGCAGCTGCAACTTTTACCCTGAGATAACTCATGGATTACAGTCCTAACCTTACCACCAAAGTTTGCAACGAAATATCTTGTTTTTATTATTTTCTCATTGCTCTAGTATATCAATAGTTTTTGGAAACAAATGATGTTCTATTTATAGCATTCTATTTTTAGTAGTGATGTTCCATTTACAAAATATAATAATTCTTGATTGCTGAAAATATCAAATCCTAGAAAATGTAGCATTCCTACACATGATGTTAATATTGTACTCAAACAGTTGTTAGCCAAAGATTCATTTGATGAATCTGATTTATATATACATTTCTGTTATATTAGGATTAGAGACAAGTTCTGTTTAGAAATAACTCTAAGAACAGTTTTTATATTTTCACATTGAAAACCAGTCAGATTTGCTTCAGCCACAAAGAGCATGTTTATGTCAAATTAAATTAATGCTGGCAGCGAGGTGCACTTTTTTTTCTAAACTGGAAATGGGTTAAGAGAGCGAGTGATCACCTCTGGCCTTACATCACCATAGTTCTTGCTAAGTTGTGCAAGACTCACCTCAAATAATGTGTGAAGTACCTAGGGCAGCGTCTGGCACAAGTGTTCCATAAATAGCAGCCATATTATTCTAATTCAAATAATTCTCCATTTGACAGAATTTCAGGCTTAAAAAGACATTTGGAGACGTCTATTCTGGACACAACTATTAGTACTTACTCTGTGCCTGTCTCAGTATTAAGTCCTGGAAATAAAAATATGAAAAGATGCTCCCCCTTACTTTAAGGAACTTAAGAGACTTGACTCTTTTCTGTTAGGAAGGAGAAAGGAGGAAACAGATTCAGGAGCAGGCCCCTATAAGAACTGCCTTCTCTGTCAGGGCTACCTGTGGCTCAGATGTTTCTGGAACCCCTAGCTTTTAAGTACATTTACTGCTAGATATTGGATGTCCCAGATCAGCTGGAGACAGGCGTTGGAGCCAGGTTAACTGAAAACTGGCAGCACCACCTGTCTCTTGAGTCTTGCCTCATACTATTGAACAGAGATTGGTCTCAAGGCCTGGGCAGACTCCCACTATCTGGGCTCCTTCTCCCACCTGCCACTTACCTTTCTTTTCTCTCCATACCACACTGTGCTCCAGCCACCTTGCCTTACTGCCTGAAAAGCCTGACCAGCTTGGTCCTCCAGGCCTCCTGACATCAGGCCCCACACAGCAGCTCCTCCCTTCTTCTGTGAGCTACCATGGATTCATTGGCAGCCCAAGGCTCTGCAATTGGGCACATTTCAGTGTGATACTGGGTGACTTTCACCTCTCTGAGCTTCTGCCGCTTCTTTCATGAAGCTAAGAAATGTTTCTGCCTCATAGAAATGGAAACTTCTGTGTACAGAATTTATTCTGCCATATTGTTTCTCATTCCATCTTTGCGTAGTGCCTCCCTTCACAGCCTAGTGGCTTTTTGAGCATAAGGGTCATGTCTTACATTCCTCTTTCTCTCCTCCACTTCCAACCCAGTGCCTGACACAGTAGACATTTAGTAAATGTTAGCGTCCTGCTGAGTGGAGCAGAAGCATCCATGGTTGAATGCCTGTTAAATTGTAAACCTTGTCCTCTACATTATCATCATCATCACCGTTGATACTTACAGAGCTCTTCCTATGAGCTGGGCACTCGTCGAAGCACTTCTGTGCTTTAACTTAGTTAATTCTGACAACAACTCTTTGATGTAGCTACTCTTACTATTGAGACACAAGGAAATGAAGTCACTTTCCCTAAAATCCCTACGTCTAATCTAGTTAGTGACAGAACCCAGGAACTCTGGACCTAGAGTCCATACCTTTAAGCACTTCACTCTGCACATTATCTTAGTTGATTCTTATAGTAACTCTGCACACCCTATTTCATAGGAGAGGGAGCAGCAGCTTCAAGGTTCCGAAAGACTTGCTCAGGGTCACGTGGCCAAGAGGTGAAGAAATTAAGATACTACCCCAAGTTTTTAAACTCTAAAGCCAGATTCTATCTGTTGTCCCAGGCTCCTTTCTCTAGAAAGGCGCAGTTGGGCTGCCTGCGAGCTGTGCTTGTGATTATCACACTGATGGAGATTCATTCATCTCATGGCATGTGTGTTGGAGCGTCTGTGGTGGATGTACTGGAGTACAACATCAGACTGTCTTAGAGGGTCCACATTCATAGCTTGCTCATTTAGCCTGGCTGGCTACCTGCTGCCAGCTTTAAAAAGTTAAAAAGAATACTTCTGTATTGGAAGTGAGCCATTCCAGACCAGTATGTCCTCTTTCTTGGTTTAAATTTAATTTTTAAATATCAGAAGTGATACCTGCCTTACTTGGACTGCAGCCCTATTCCTCTCTCTGTGTTCTTCCTCTCCTCGAGTGAGCTTGTCAAACTGTAAAGAAGTGGACAGGAGGGCATGGTATGGAGGAAAGAGCTCAGCGGTTTAGCAATATCACAATCCCCTCTTGTGACCGTGAACAAGTCACTGTCCCTGTCAGGTTCTCAGCATTGTTATCCGTAAATGGCAACGGATGACCTGAATCATTTCAGCAGTGGACCATGCAGATGTCTTATTAGTGTCCTTGTTCTCCACTGGCCAGTTCTTCCCTGAGTTTTACAGACTCACCTGCATTACTAGTTTTCTAAAATGGGAAAAGGGGAAGAAGCCTTCATCCAGGCCCCTCTTTGTTCTCTCCCTCTCCTAGTTGGCCTTATCCACACTTGCCAGGATTTCTACGTTGCGTAGCTGAGTGGTACCCCTGCAATGTGCAGCTTGTGATCCTGCTGCTTACCGTCTACATACCAACAACTCACAGCTTCAGTCGATAGCCCTGACCTCTCTGCTGAGCCTTATATCTGGATATCTGTCTACTTGACATATCAAGTCAAACTTGACAAACTGAAACAATGCTTTCAGTCTAAATTTGCTGTTCTTCCTGTTTTCCTACTTAGAACCTGGTTGTAGAACCTTTGTCTTTCCAATATACACCAATTCTCACTCATCCCTTTTATCGGTACCAGCTCCTCTAGATTTCACTTCCTCAGTAACTCCGAATCCATGTACTTGTTTCCACGCTCATCACAACCTCTCATCCAGCAACCCATCATTGCCCACTTGCGTGACTGACTGCCATCACCCCCAGCCAGTTCCTTGCATCTTTTATGTTTGCTTCACAAAACATCCAAAGTGATCTTTCTGTAACCAGAATCAGATAGTGTCTTTCTCCATCCCTATTAGAAACCCTTCATTGGCTTTTGTTGCTCTCTGGATAAAGTTCAAACTTCCAGTGTAGCACACAGGCCCCCTGAGATGCATCTCTAGCCCATCTCTCCAGTTCACCTCAAGCTACTCTCTCCCTTGCTCTCTGCATTACAGCCACACAGGCCTCTCAATTTTACTATGCTTCCCCCACTCTCAAGGGGTGTTTGCACATACTGTTCCTTCTGTCTAGAATATTCTTCCCCTATCTTTTTACCTAGTTAACGCTTCTCTTTACTTACAGCTCATTTCAAGCATCACTTCCTCAGAGAAGCTTTCCTAGATCCACTCCCCCGTGTCTAGAGCAAGTTCCTTTTGTTATCCGATATACTCTCATTATCCTGATTATTTAATCTAAGTCTGTCTTCCCATTAGACCATAAGCTCCATTAGACCATAAGCTCCAAGTATGTCTGTTCAATATTATATCTTTAAGATGCCCAGCACATAGCCAGTACCCAGTATGTGTTTGGGAATGAATGAATGAGAGAATAAAGACTAGGCAGAGTGCCATATCAAATAGGTCCACACAAGTAGGCAAATGTTAGACCAGGTATGTGTGCAGACATTTGTCTTACCTGTTGGCTTTTGTCAGTCTCCTTCAGCTTGCCCCAGTTTCATATCATCACAGTAGAGTTGTTAGAATGGCTCAGAACGAAAGCACCATTGGGTTTAGTTGATAGTTCCTAACTGCTTGATGCCTGTTAGCATGACATCTGGCAGCAGATTACTCTGAGGTAGGCATGCAAGGGACATGCCAGTTTATTAAGTAAAAAGATGCTTTTGCTAAAAATCTCAGGTGCTAGATTTTACCCCATTTCCCTCCCTGCTTGAATCAGGATCTGAAGACACAGAGATAAATAGGAAACACTGTCTACCCTTAAAGAGCTCATAGTTAAGGAAGCAGAAACTTAATATATCATTACTGTGCAAAGTCACATCATTGACATAAGAAAAAGTGCAGAGGTAATGCCGATGATGAAAATAGTATTTGTTGCTGCCTACTCTGTGTCCGGTACTTTATTTCTCACTGTGACCCTGTGAGGTAGATATTATCATCCCCATTTTACAGATGAGAAAATTGAGGCTTACTGAGGTTAAATGACTTACTAAGAAGGCTAAGAGGGTAAGTGGCAGAGCCAGTGTTCAGTAGCAGGCAGACCTCTCTCTCCACCATTGAATGATGCTGCCTTTGTGCAGAGAGAAATCAGGAGGGAGTGATGAGCTCTGTCCTGAAGAGGTCAAGATGGGCTTCTCAAGAGTGAAATAGAAGCTGAGCTGGAAGTGTGAGGAGTTTCCCAGGAACCTGGGCCAGGAAATTACACTCCAGGGCAAAGGATTCCAAAGGGGTGGAATGAAATGGCATGTTTGGTGAGCTCTGAAGGGTCTGGTGCTACAGAGCACAAACTGGGAGGAGAGATCAATGGGTGAGAGTCAGGGCAAGCTGAGCCCGAACAGGTCGAGTAGAGCATGGAGTGCCAGGCTACAGAACTGCTGAGGGCGCTCTCAGCCTTGGTTCTCTGTGGCTCTGCTGACTCCAGCCACCACAGGGCTGAAACTCTGAGCTCCATCTGTCTCTCTTACGGCAGGAGAGGTGCTGAGAGGGGACCGGATTGTCAACACCCCTTTCCAGGTTCTCATGAACAGCGAAAAGAAGTGTGAGGTTCTGTGCAGCCAGTCCAACAAGCCAGTGACCCTGACCGTGGAACAGAGCCGGCTTGTGGCCGAGCGGATCACGGAGGACTACTACGTCCACCTGTAAGTCGTCCTCTGCTCCCTGCCGGCCTTGAGTTCACGTGGGGAGGGCACTGATGGGAGAAGCGGTCCAGAGGGACTGAGCGGGGCCTTGGGTTTCCAGCATTGCCGACAACCTGCCTGTGGCCACCCGGCTGGAGCTCTACTCCAACCGTGACGGCGATGACAAGAAGAAAGAAAAAGATGTGCAGTTTGAACATGGCTACCGGCTTGGCTTCACGGATGTCAACAAGGTAGAGTGTCTTGGTGTGCTCAAAGGGCTGCGAGAGCCACACCCCAAAGTCATGAGCATTTGGGGCTGCAGAGAAGCGGGAAACATTTAACTCTAGGCTTATAACAGAAGAGATGAGGCTGGCTGAGGCAAATTCTTCCTCGTGCCCCTGGGCGAGGCTCTGGCAGATGCTACATAGGAGGTGCCATGGCCCCTAAAAACTCATTCCATGTTCATAACCCCCAAAAAAAATCTAAGAACAAGAACATTTTTTGAGGCACAGCCCCTGACCTCAGAAAGCTGTCATAAACAGAAAGAGAACTGACAGTGTAAGACCTTGAATCCTAAGTTCCAGTACCATGATGGTCAATGCCAGAGGAGTTAGGAGGCAGCTTATTGTGCATTCGGGTTGTCTTAGAGGAGGTGGGCCTTAAAAAATAGGTAGACTTGAGCTGAGTGGAGTTGGAGGTGGCATTCTAGTGAATGCTGTAAACAGAGCTGCAGTGTGGGGACTGTTCATGGGGCAGGGAGGTCTCAGGGAGACCAGGCGAACTAATGTGTCTGAGAAAATGGTGATAGTCAAATGATATAAAGCTTTGAATGCCAGGCTAAGGGATCTGAGCTCTTCTTTAGTGAGCCCCAGGGAGCTCTAGAGTGTTTCTGAGCAAGGGAGAGCTATGAGGGCGGTGTTTTCAGAAGGTTGGGACAGCTGGGCCTGTTCTACCTAATGCCTAGAGTGGTCTCCTTGAGTAAGTTTCTGGTCGTTTCTTGGCTACGAGTTATTTTGTTCTCTCTGTTGCTCGATTTTAGATCTACCTGCACAATCACCTCTCGTTCATCCTTTACTACCATCGGGAGGACCTGGAAGAAGACCAGGAGCACACATACCGCGTCGTCCGCTTCGAGGTGATTCCCCAGAGCATCAGGCTGGAGGGTGAGTGGGGAGGTATGACCAGAGGGGCAGGGTTGGATGGGCCTGGGCTTTTACACCCAGGGTAGTTTCTCACACTTGATTCCTGAAATGGCTAATAGGCCCTGGTGTAGCATTTGGGCCCAGCCAAGGTAGGATCACTACATTCCTGTTAGAGAAGGTGGGGGTCAAGGGGAGAGCTGACATGTGTTGTATCCTAGCCTATGTGGTGATAATAGATGAGGAACCACAGACTCAAAGAGGTTGGTGACTTAGATGAGACCAAACAGCAACTTGGGGCTTGGCTGGGCTGCTCATAAGACCCAGCCAGCTTCATCTGGGTTGAAGAACAAAGGGCAGTGTACAGACAGAGCTGTCGGGCAGCTGGTGTCTGTGTTTCTCTTCTTTTGTGTGAATGATTGGCATAGACTAAAATTTGCTCAGGGGGAGCAGACTTAGTCCAGTTTCACCTCACCTGTCAGCACTTTCTTACCACAGGCGTGCTTTAATTTAGGAGGCCTGGCCTTTTGTCCACAGTAGTGGTGGGTTTCTGGGGGGTTTTCATTGGTTTGTTTTGTTTTTAAGCTATGGAACCTAGTTTTCAAAATTGTACACAGAAGTTTCATATAAGACATCCTATATTTTCACAGTGCTATTCTCCCTCTCCTGTGCCTCTCATGAGCACAGCTTTATGTTTATCGTGTGATTATTTTGACATCATCTCTGCCCCCTGGCTCTTTAAGGTTAGACTGTCTCTTTTTCTCATCATTTTATCTCCAGCACAGTACCTGGCACTTAGGAGGTGCTTATGATATGTTTGTTGAATAAATGGATAGATACCAGGATGAGTGAATGAGTAAATGAATGAAGAAAGCATCTGAGTGAGTGAATTACTGAAGTGCCAGAACTTTGAGGACTGAGTGAATGAGTAAACATGTGGTAGACGAATCTGTGTTGTTTTGCATATCGAGTGAGATTGATTGAATGAGTAAATGAGTATTTGAATTGAGTGAAGGAAGATTAATTAATTAAATGAAGGACTCAGACCTCTCCCCCACACACCTGTCTGCAGCCCCTAAGGTCTTTTGGAAGGTAAGGACTCTGGGGAGTGCAATTTTAAAACTATTGTTACCAGCTGTTCTTTCAGCCTCCACTCAGACCCTGGATGCCACTCCTTCAAGCAGCTTCTGAGGGCACCCCCCAGAACAGCCCTTGGATAATGGCACCAGCCTCCACAGGAACAGACTAAGTCTCTGTCTCTCACAGACCTCAAAGCAGATGAGAAGAGTTCATGCACCCTGCCTGAGGGTACCAACTCCTCACCCCAAGAAATTGACCCCACCAAAGAGAATCAGCTGTACTTCACCTACTCCGTACACTGGGAGGTGAGAAGGGGCTGAAGCCCATAACAGGGGAGGAGGGTTCTGGTCTGGGCAGGACTTTTTTTAGCGGGACAACTGACTCTTTAAGTGCTTATCACCCCACCCCTTATCAGGAAAGTGACATCAAATGGGCCTCTCGCTGGGACACTTACCTGACCATGAGTGACGTGCAGATCCACTGGTTTTCTATCATTAACTCTGTCGTGGTGGTCTTCTTCCTGTCAGGTGAGAGATCTATGTGTTAGAGAGTGGAGAGGACAAGAGGGTGAGAGATAAAGGGCTGAGGCATCACATCACTCAAGGGGGACTTGTAGGGTGTTCTCAGGGCCAAGTGTGGGTCAAAAACAGATGTTGGGGCTCTGAGCGAGGTGTCAGGTATACAGAGGTAAACAATATTTGGTCTCCGCTCTGGAGAGCTCCCTAGGGGAGACGGATGCATCTCATGCACACGTTCAGTCAGCAAGACTTCGTTGTCTCATTCTGTGCGGGCACTGTGCCACATGCTGGCGATATGGCAGTGAGCAAACCCAACCCAGTCTTTACCTTTACAGAGTCTATCTGGTGGTGGGAGAGAGAAAGTAGTGGAGTGATCAGTGCTATGAAGCAGATAAACAGGGTAACCAAATACATAGCCCTCAAGAAAAGGGGAAGCCTACTTTAGATAAGACTTCTGTAAAATGAGGAGGAGCCACCATTCAGAGACCCAGGGAAAGACTGGTCCAGCAAGGGCCACAGCCCTGCAGTGGGATGAGCCTGGCCAGAAACCTGATAGCAAAAGCGTAGTGAGCAGGGGGCAGGGTGGTAGGCAGAGGTGGAATGAAACTGATGTATTATGAGAAGTAAAGATAATGCTAGCTACTGTTTATTAAACATTTAACCCATGGCTCAGCTGCTGTGCTAATTAATAAGCACTTTATAAGCATCTCAATCCTTGAAGTCCCATAAGCTAAGCCTGAAAATGTTAAGTTAGTTTGAGGTCATGCAATCCATTGTCTTAACCACACCGTGCTGCCTGAAGAGATAAATGGGGTGAAGGGGGAGCTCTGAACTGTTTGGGATGTTGAAAGGCAGAGGTGCTCAAGATGAGTCTTGAAGCGTGAGTAGGATTCAGGGCAGAGTGGGGCATTCCAAGCAAAGGGAATTGCCTGGGTAAAGGCATGGAGTTGAGAGAGGTGTGGCAGCAAAGAACCAGCGGTGAATGAGAGGGGAGCCTGGCAGGACCAACCCATGAAGCAGCTGGGGTGCCATTATCCCTAGAATTAAAATCTGTGTCCTCTGGCTGCCCACACCCATCCTAGCAGCTCTTTCCTTCCAGGTAGCTGGGGTGCAGCTATGCCCAGGAGAGGACCTGAGGTGGCTGCATAGCCATTTCACTGGAGGAAGTCACACGCCAGCCATCACTCAGTGAAACACCAAGCCCAAGAGGGCATGCAGCACAGAAGACTTGGTTGGCACTGCTGATAACCCTTCCTCTCTTGTTTGTTTCAGGCATCCTGAGCATGATTATCATTCGGACCCTCCGGAAGGACATCGCCAACTATAACAAAGAGGATGACATTGTACGAGGTCTTGGCTGGGGAGGAATGGCCTTGGAGAGGGAGGACAGTCTAGCAGTAGGGCTCTAGGCCTGCCGGTCCAGGAGGGGTGTTTGTGTGTATATGTTATCATTGATAGAGTAAACCTTTAAAATATTGAAAAGGAAAAAAAAATGTTTAATGACCCAAAATGGTGGGGATAGGCTTTCTAATGTCTAAGCATAAAAATAATGGACGAAATCACAGAAAGAAAACTTGATGAATGTAACATTAAAAATTTAAAAACTGTTCTGCATGTCAGAAAATATAAACAAAACAAAAATGAAATGGCAAAACAATGTTTGCAACACACTTGGAAAAAGACGATATAATTTTTTGAAAAATTGGTATAAAATCTCTTAAACAGTCTAAAATCTCTAATATGATAATGAATTAAAAATTTAGAGGATCTGTACGTGGAACTATATACATGGCTAGTAAACGTGAAAAACTACTTTTACCTCAGAGGTAACCCCCACAATTACAGATTCAAACAATCATGAGATGACAATTTAGAACTTTAAATTAGCACAGATTTTTTTTTCATATAATACTAACTAGTTGTGGGCAAGGTTAACATGAAATAAGCACCTTCCTGTGCCACCCATGCAAATGTAAACTGGTAGTTTTCCAAAAAATAATTGGCAGTACATACCATATAGTACATACTGTAAAATAGTTAACTTGTTTTGACCCAGTAATTCTTCTAGAATTTTCCTAAGGAAAGCATCAAAAACACGAAAATGTGGCCTAGAAATAATAATTGCAGCTTCATGTATAATCTAAATAAACTGGATATAGCCTAATATTCCATAATGGTGGATTGGTTATGGCATAGCTGTACAATGAAAAAAGTACACAGACATTAAAATAGTAATTGCAAAGAATATTTATTGGTATGAGGAAATGTTCATGATCAAACATCAACTGAAAATAAGTATTCAGTAAATAAAATATTCATTTCATTGTTTAGAAATTATGTATATTATATACACATATACATACATAAAGGACTAAAGGAAATGAATCAAAACAGTGGTATATCATTAAGTATGTAAATCATTATTTTCTATAACTTTTCGGGGTTTTTTAATCTTTGAGCGTTTGAGTTTTATCTTTTGTTGTTTAGTCTTTCTAGATTTTAAAAAATTTTTCAACAGTAAACATTTATTACTTTTTGTTCACTTGAATATCATGCCATATACCAAAAATTTTTACTCTTTTTCTAATATAAGGAAGAGCACATATTACTGAAGAGCACATATTACTTTTATAATCATTAAAAAAACTGCTGTATGTCTCACCACCCAAGAACTATCACAGTTAACATTTTAGTATATTGATGTTTACATTATTTTTCCATGCATTAAGTTTGTGGAATTTGGGGATATTTTTTTCCCTTGTATGTAGCTGTAAGCCTCATGTTTGTGCCCTCCTTGTCCTATGTGACAGTTCTCTGGGAAGCAGTTTGTCGTGTCACTTACTCTTTTGTGTCATTGGAGCTGGTTGACACCTGAGCGACCCTTGGCTCTAGTCAGAGTGGGTCCTCAGCGATGGTCCCTGCAGGAGCTGCCTTCTCCAGAGCCAAAGAAGCAGCCTCACTTTCTGGCCTTTTGCTGCAGGAAGACACCATGGAAGAGTCTGGGTGGAAGCTGGTGCACGGCGATGTCTTCAGGCCCCCCCAGTACCCCATGATCCTCAGCTCCCTGCTGGGCTCAGGCATTCAGCTCTTCTGTATGATCCTCATCGTCATCTGTGAGTGGGCCCAGCAGGCCAGATGTGGGAGGCTGTCACCAGAGCAGCATGGGCCTGATGAGGGTGGGCTTCCCTCCCTGCCGAAGAGGGCATATCAGCATCTCTGGGCCAGACAGAACCATCCATCCCAGAAAGGCTGAGTTCTCTCAGCCCCAGGCCCTGGTGGTTTGATCCTCCTCAGAGCTAGATAGCCCACTATGGCCATTCCATCAGTGAAGCCATGCATCAATGCTGTGAGCTTGGCCTCCTTTGGCAGTTAGGCTTTAAGTGACTTACCCAAGTTAGGACTGGAATCAGATCTTTTTTCTTAAAAACAACCACCTCCCCCCCAAAAAAATAATATATAGTAGTTACAGACAGTTCTGAAGTCATTCTGCCCAAAATATTTTCTTTCTTTTTTTTTTTTTTTTACCATTTTAACAATCTTTTAATCAATGTATAACATCGTACTAGTTTAAGGTGTACAACATAGTGATTTGATATATGTACATATTTTTCTTGTGATGAAGACTTATAAGATCTAAGCTCTTAGCAGCTAGTCTGCCTAAATCTGTGTCACAGCCTCATGTCTCCAAGCTTTGTGACCTTGGACAAGTCACTTAACCTCTGTGAGCCTCAGTTTCCGCATCTGAGAAATGGAGAAACTAACCTCCACCTCGCAGAGCTGATGAGGCAGATTCAGTGAGCTGGCATTGATAATGCTCTCGGCTCACTGTCAGGTTGGCTGCAAGTGCTCCGTGGGCTGGAAGCTGCAGTTAAGATGCAGCCAGCTGGGGTGCAGCAGTTGCTGCACCCCTCTGAACCCCAGCTAAGATCCAGCCTTCTCCTGCAGAGAGGAAGGGAGTACGCTGTCAAGAGGGAGCAGGGAGCCTTATCTTGCCCCATATGCCCAGGGCCCTGTCAGCCAGCCCAGGATGGGGGCTCGGGGCGGGGGCCCTGGTGATCAGCCACCGTGACTTTCTCCCTGCTCTCCCTCCATAGTTGTGGCCATGCTTGGGATGCTGTCGCCTTCCAGCCGGGGAGCTCTCATGACCACGGCTTGCTTCCTCTTCATGTTCATGGGGTAGGTGTGCCTGAGTGGGCTCTGGGGGCTGACACACACCACCTGCACTCCAGCTAACAGGTGTGGATCCCTGCCATTTCCCACAGGGTGTTCGGTGGATTTTCCGCTGGCCGTCTATACCGCACTCTGAAAGGCCATCGGTGGAAGAAGGGAGCCTTCTGTGTAAGTGTCCTCAGCTTCCTCCCAGTGTTGGTGAGGAGCTGAGAAGCTTCTTCCTGAACTCCTCAGGAGCAGTGTAGAGCAGACCCTGGGAGAGTTTGGGGGCCAGAGGCTGAGCAGCAGCACGGTGGGCTGGGAGGAGCACACCCAGGGACAGGAATGCTGGACTCTTACCCACAAGTGCCGCAAGACCTCTTCAGGCCTTAGTTGTTGCATTTATAAAATGAGGAGATTGAATGAGTTTTAGCCTACATTGTCTGATGTCTCAAGCAAGAGAAGAAATAGAGGATTCAGAATAACAGGATTTAGCCACCAAGCCCAGGTGTCAAAATTTAGAGTCGAAAACTGATCAGGGCTGCTGGGAGCATACCCTGCCCAGTGGTATAAGGAGAGAGTTGCCTGCCAGGGCCAGAAGAGGCCAGGCCCCTCGTCACCGTCAGCCTGTTTTCCAGACTTCGGTGCTTCCATTGAAGGCAGCTTTTGCCCTCTCTGTCCTCCACCAGACCATAGAAATTGAAGGATGCCTAAGAGCCAACCCTACCTCCCAAGGAGCCCTGAGCCCCTTCTCCCAGAGCAAATGAGGCCTTTAGAGGACCAGGGAGACCCTTGGTGCCACACTCCAAGACTCTTTAGTTCTGGCATTCTGAAATCGTCCTCAGGGAGGGGAGCTCAGACTGTTTCAGCTCTGGCTGCCACACTCCTGGCATATAGTAAGCCATCCATATGGCGGAGCTGTGATGGTGATTATTCTGGAAGGATCAGAAAAGTTTCCATAATTCTTGACATATCAAGCATTTTTCTCAAGCAACTGTGAATGATCTACAGAGGCATAAAATCCTGCCTCCTCCTCCCCTAGTGACTTCTCTGGTGAAATCTCCCACCAGATACCCTCCAGGATCTCCCTCAGCAGTTCCCACACCAAACCCATTCTACTTCTTGCACCTGGCAGCACCATCATTCACCCAGGCCCCAAAGCTTCCTTAGCTCTTCTTCCTCATGCCCCACCTCCTCCCAGATAGCAAGTGTGGGTTTTCCTGCCAAGTAGTCCATGAATTTCCTCCCATCTCTATCTCCAGAACTCTTGCCTAGATTTAGGCATCTTTACCTCTCACCTGGATCCTTGACTGTCCTAGGCCTTTCTGGTCTCCCTGCAAGATTCTGACCCTTCCCTCGTTCTCTGCCTCTATTACAGGTGGGCATCTACTACAGCCCATAGCAGTGCAGATCTGCAACAGTTCTCTCCATCCTCTGCCATCCCCTCTGCCTGGGCACACTACCCCCTCACTCTCCTTGCTTCATCTTTTAAGTCTTATTAGTTTCAGTATCACTCCTCTAGGAGCCTAGGCAGAACCTTATACCTACAGTTAGCACCATGTATGTTATACCCTGTTATTCCTCATTTATGGGTCTGTCTTCCTCCCTGGAACTTTTTTCCTGTTCTTATCCCTGGTTTCTAGCACAGTGTCTAGTCCATAAATTTTAGCCAGGAAGTCAAATGAGGAATTCCATGCTACATAGCAAGAGTAAAGCAGAAACATATAGGAAAGGAAGAAATGACATTTGAGCTGGACCTGGAGGGTTTCAGACAGATGGAAGCAGCCAGCAGAGGGCCTCGAGTTCTGGCATTTCCTAGATCTTGGTCTTGGCTCTGTTCTTTCCTTGGTTGGTGACCTTGAACAAACCTCTGAGCCTCAGTTTTCCCATCTCTCCAATGGAGGATGGTTATACCTGCCTTTGGGGATTGTCATGTAGATGGAAAGAGACTGAGCGTGAAAAGCCCTTAATACAGCATTAGCACTCAGGAAGCTGAGCCCCTAAGGTGTTGATAACTCTGCCTACGTAGAGGGACAGGGACATGCCAGAACAGTGACCAGTTATTGGGTTGGGGGGCCTATGCACCAAAGATGACACTGGCAGCAGAGATTGAGTGCCAGATTACAGAGGGCCTCAAGCATTGTGGTCATTGACCCTCAGGCAGCCACAGGGAGGAAGGAGGCTCAACTGTAGGTTTGGGACTTCGGTTCTATGTGCCTGGGCTCCAGCCCAAGAGATTCTAACTAAATGGCATACACCACAGGGTATCAGGAATGTGGGCTCTGGGGTCAGACTGCCTGGGTCTGAACATCTGTTCCACCCTTAACTGACTGTGAAGTTGGGGGCTGTATTTAACATTGCTGGGCCCCAGTGTCCTCTTCTTTAAAAGGGAATGATGACAGTCCTTCCCATCCAGGCCTGAAGGTTAGGTGAGATGGTGCATGTAGAGCCCAGCACCCGCAACTCCTAGGAGTCGATTAAAGCTTCACAACGACTGTAGGCAGTTTGAGTTGGGACCCAGACATAGATTCTGTGAAAATTTTATTTATGCATTCCTTCCTTATTCAACAAATGTTTTTTGAGCAGCTGCTGTATTCTAAGTGATGGGAGTACATCAGTGAACAGGAGGGCACACTCCCCAGGAGCTTACAGTCTATGGGGTAGGCAAACACTGCTTAGGTAACAGCAACATGGAATTACAAACTGGGATGAGCAAGGAAGGGGCAGTCCAGGTATCTAAGAGGATAAAGAACAGGAGGCCTGCCTGTTCTTTCTTGGGGTCAGGGAATGCTTTTGGAGAAATGATCTTTGAGCTACGTCCTGGAGTACAAGGAAGGGTTGAGAACTTCGAGTCCCGGGACCCCACCGGGACAGGTGGGAGCTTCCCAACCTGGCCTCTCTTGCTTGCAGACAGCGACGTTGTACCCTGGTGTGGTTTTCGGCATCTGCTTTGTGCTGAATTGCTTCATCTGGGGAAAGCACTCATCAGGAGCGGTAAGTGCCCTCCCCAGTGAGGGAGGGCCAGCTGTGCTCAACCCCACTCCGTCAGGTCACTTCCTGCTGTTTCCTTCCCTTTTCTGAGTCCCCAAAGTTCTGTTCCCAGCCCAGGGGCTGAGGGCGGGGTGGAGTTTCCCTAGCCCTGCCCATCCATCTTTCTTTGCCCTGGCCTTTCTGTGCACTTTGAGACAGCTAGCCAAACCTCACTTCTCTATAGGGAGGTTTCCACAGTCCAGGGGCCAACTGGGGAATTTCCCTTTGTCTCAACCAAGGGAAAGCTGCTTAGTGTGAATTTATTAGGTCAGTATCCCATACAAGGCTCACCAAATGTCTCTGCTTCTCAGCATCAGCTCCTGTAGGTCGTCTTGTCCTCAGAGCAGGATCCCCTCAGACCCAGTTGTTAGTAGCAGCTGCCCAGGACTCAACAGAGTAGGATTGTGAACTCAGTTGGCGGTAGAAAGATGAGGTCTTGATTGATTAGCAGGGCTGCTGTGGGGGTGGGCAGGCTTTTGCCATCCCAGCCACAGCAGGTAGAGCTACCGCCTCTCCACCTGCAGATGCCCCTAAAGGTCCTTGGGTGCGGCTTCCAGTCTGGGTTCCCTAGGACAGGGTTCTTTCTGGCAGTCCAGGAAGCCATCATCAGGAAAGACAGTCATGCTTTTCCTTTCATTTCATCTTTTTTATACCTGTGTTCCTTCCCTCTTTCGATATTTTTTCTCCCAGATACCAACTGCTCATTACAAACGCCCATTGTAGAAATTTTGGAAAGTACAGAGAAGTTAAAGAAGTCAGAAATAACCTATAATCCAGCCATCCAGAGATAAATACTGTGTGATCTTTACTATGTGTTTTTTTCAGTCTTTTTTCCTCTTTTTGGATTTATTTAAAATTGAATGATGTTAATTTAGAAGTTATAAAATAATGGCAAACATATATATGGTGCTTGCTTTGGGATAAATCCTATACCAAACACTTGACATATATTAATTCATTTTTTCCTTTTTGCATAACTCATAAAAACATACTTTAGCAGAGAGGATAAAGAAAAAATGAAAAATAGTTCTAATCCCCTATATCCCAGCCAAGGAAGTACTGTTAACTTTCTGACATAGGCCTTTCCTAGGCACTTATACATATAAATATTGGGATGTTTTTATTAAAATGGAGATCTAGACATATAGTTTTATAACCTGCTTCATTTACTTAGTAGTATATTGTGGGATTTTATTTTTTTATCTTTTATTTATTTATTTATTTATTTATTTAGTCACTTTAAATCATCTGGAACTTGTTTTTATTGCAGTATAAGGTAGCAGTCCATTTACATTTAGGGTGATTATTGAAATAGAAGGTTTTCCTCTAACTATTTTATGTTTTGCTTTATGGTAGCTTGGTGTTTCCTTTGCTTCCTTGTCTGTGTATGATTTATTTATTTATTTATTTATTTATTTATTTATTTATTTATTTATCTTTTATCGCCTACAGCACCTGGTCTTCCTAGGTGGTCTCCCATCCAAATACTAATGAGGCCTGACCCTGCTTAGCTTCCAAGATCAGACGAATGTGGGGTTTTATCTTAACAAAATGAGGAACACACTATTTGTGCAGTTTTATTTTTTCCCTTTTTTTCTTAACATACCACATGTAATTTCCCTTTATTCAGGCCTCTTCATCTCCCCTCATGTTCTCAGTTCCCTCCTTCCCTTTTCTTTTCCCGTTTCCTCCCCGGATGACAAGCTCTGGGGTGCCATGGTTCCGTCTTCATTTCACAACCCAAATGGTTCATCATCTGCGCGCTCTACTTTTCCCTAGGACTAAGGTCAGCTCCAGAAGGTTCTAGCCAGGAGACCTGTGGGGAGCTATCTATAGATACTTCCCCACCATGGTGGCCCTGCTGTGCCTCTCTTTTCCTGGGAGCCCAGAAGGTCCCCCTCCGCCCTGCATAGCCCCAGTCTGGGCATCAGAGCCTCGTGAGGCCTCACGATGCTGTACTCACAGGTGCCCTTCCCCACCATGGTGGCCCTGCTGTGCATGTGGTTTGGGATCTCCCTGCCTCTCGTCTACCTGGGCTACTACTTCGGCTTCCGCAAGCAGCCGTATGACAACCCAGTGCGCACCAACCAGATTCCCCGGCAGATCCCTGAACAGCGGTGGTACATGAACCGATTTGTGGGGTGAGTCTCCAGCAGGGGCCTTCTGGACTGGGTGAGGCCAACACTGCCATGAGCCATCTCCTTAGGGCGACTTGGAGGAGGGTACCCTCCCCACAAGGATACTATGACTTGCATTCTGTAGTTCAGCCAGCTCTGGTAGACTTCAGGAAAGCTTAGCTTTGCTCAAAGATAAGGCCTGAGTTGTAGCCAGACTTGGTGTCGGCCTAGGAACCAGGAAGGGGCGGGATGGAAAGGTACAGTGAGAGAAGTTAAGATCATCACTTGGACCTCAAGCACGTTACCCTGCCTCTCTGTACCTCAGTTTACCCATCTATAAAGCGGAGAGAATGATTCCCACCCTGCCTACCTCTCAAGAGGCTATAATGGTACAAAAAGATATGAAAAGAATTAGGGCCACCACACCCTGGAAGCACTCTCATTTGGGGTGGCTGGGGAAGGAGTCTGGGGCTTCTGATGCCCTGGGTCTCCTCAGTGTTAACCCTCTGGTTCTGCTGCAGCATTCTCATGGCTGGGATCCTGCCCTTTGGTGCCATGTTCATCGAGCTTTTCTTCATCTTCAGTGTGAGTACTGCTGCCTGCTTCCCAGCCCCTCCACACACAGCCTTCACCCCTGCTAGCCTGGTCCCTACCCCACTACTTGGGTTCTCTGGCTCTTGCTGCCTGTGAAAATTCAGATGGAGCATTTAACCTCTTAGAGCCCCCATACTTCACCCTGACATGGGGTAACAGTCCTGCCTCTCAGGGCAGCTTGGAAGGTTAAACGAGATATGGCATGTGTATGGGAAGGGCCCAATAAATAGAAGCTGCTTCAATAAAACTGCAATCAGTCACCACCATTATTAATATCATAGTTGCATCTTTGATATCCGGGTTCCTACATATCTGAGTTACTCAAAAGTCTCAGCAAAGTGACGTGAATGAAGCCTAACTTTCAGGATCATCGAGAGGCTGGAATGTGATAATGTCTATAAAAGACACAGTGCTTAGCATTTAGAATATACTTGGTAAATTATAGCTGTGGTGTGATGATGATTGTTCCTGTCCCAGGCGTGCCAAGATGAAAGTTGACAATAGGCCTCTTCACAACCATCTACGTCTGACTCAGTGCCCAGCTCAGAGAGTGCCTTGCACCAAGTCAGTGCTGGTCAAGTATCTGCTGCTCAGGAGTGGTCCAGCCTCTCCCTGCTGAGATTCCCTCACCCGCCGATCCCTGCCTAGGAAAAGGGTCAGAGGATGAATTGGCTGCCCTCCCAGGGAGGCCACCTCAGTTCTTTTTGTATGACCCTGGGCCAATCACCAGCTTCTTTGAGCCTTGACTTCCTCAGCTGTAAAAGTCCACACTTTCATACATTCACATGTCTGTGAAGCATGTAGCTTGCCTAGCATGCGGTACACTGCCCCTAAGTGGCTGTGGCTGCTGTGTAATTTTGCTGCGGGTGATATTCATCATTTTTCACAAGCGGCTGTGTTCAGGCTGAAGCCCACCCATCACAGGGTCAGCTATGCCCTAGCCACTCCTTAAGAACAGCCTGGGTCACCCTCTGCTCCAGGGAGGAGGGACCATCGGAGCCACATGCCAGGCCCACAGGGTCCAATGGCATCATGATGGTGTCTCCTTTCCTGCCCTGGTGACAGGTCCTGACTGCCTGCTGGCGTCCAGAGAACAGGCAGGGTATGCCAGGGGAAGGGCCACTGGATGGAGGCAGGCTAGCTAAAGGCCAGCTGTGGTGTGTCCACAGGCAATCTGGGAGAATCAGTTCTATTACCTCTTTGGCTTCCTGTTCCTCGTCTTCATCATCCTGGTGGTGTCATGCTCGCAAATCAGCATCGTCATGGTATACTTCCAGCTGTGTGCAGAGGTGAGGGCAGTGGGGCCTGGACTTGGGGGTGGGTGGAGGGAGTTGGGTCCAGCATTGAATGTGTCAGCTAGGCTGTCTGAGTTTTCCATGTGGTCCCCCACTTCTGGTCACGAGGTCTTGGAAAAGTATGCCACTTTCCCTCTCTGAGCTCCGTTTATTCAGTCGGCTCCCTCATTAGTAGCTGTGGCTGGCAGTTGGTTAACCTTTCTGTGTGACAAGGATAGCAGTAGGATCTGACTCAGAGGACTGCTACAAGGATTAAACTGAGCTAGTTCACATACAGCACTTAGAATGGTGCCTGGCACATGGAGAGCATTTGCTCAAGAAATAATAGTTATTGTTATTACAATTTTTTTAAATTGAGGTATAATTTATAAACAGTAAAGTTCAGCCTTTTTATTCTCCAGTTCTTTGAGTTTTTAAAAACACCTACAATTGTGAAACCACCATCAAAGTCAAGATACAAAACATTCCCATCACCCCAAATATTACTGTACTTACCCAGCATCTTTAGCCCCTCAGGCAACTGTGAAACTTGGGGAAGAGATTCTGCCTGGAGACAGCTCACCCTTCTGTTTCCTCCTCAGGATTACCGCTGGTGGTGGAGGAATTTCCTAGTCTCTGGAGGATCTGCATTCTACGTCCTGGTCTATGCCATCTTTTATTTTGTTAACAAGGTACCACCCTATGTGAGGGAGCCCCTTAGCCTTTCCAGGGCGGGATGGTGAGGAGGAGGGTGCTAGGGAAAAACTCAAGTATCTGAATCTTATTTTCCTACCATGAGTGGGGAGAACCGGTACCAGTGTAGAACCCTTTCTGCTCTAGAACATGCATCTTTTTAGGAAAGTATCTGTGTTCTGTACATTTGGAAGACAAAAGCCTTCAGAATATTTAACAGTGAAAATATTGTATGCAAAGCCTGTGAGATACAGCCAAATGGGTACTTAAAGGAAAATATATCACCTTACAATGCTTTTAATAGGAAATAAGAGAGATTGATAATATAGTATTCAGCTCAAGAAGCTAGAAAAAAAAGAATGACATGAACATGAAGGTAAATGAGAAGAATTAATAAAGATAAAAGTGGAAAATGCTGAAATAGCCTTTAGCACCCAAATTAAGGATCTCAGACATCCTCTTTCTGGTGCCTTCCTTCCCTTCTTCATTCAAGTACTGTTTGGTCTTTCACAATCAGGACAGCATGGGCCATGGCTTTGCCTGCATCTTAGAGTGTACATGCTGTGTGAGCCACATGGGTAAAGTCTGGGTGAACAGAAGGGAGCTTGGCTTACTTGACTCAGGCACATTCATAGAGCTCATTGTCCCCAAAGAGTGGCATGAATAAGAATACAAACATCCCCACAACCGTTTTGATAGATTCATGCATGACAGAAACCAGATGGGCCCCTGAAAGGAGCCTGGGGACACTCTGGTGGACCCCTCACCTCTGAGGCTAACACTGAAGACTTGGCCTCACCATTGTGCTTTGGGTCTCCAGAACCCAAAAGCAAGCAATTCTCTTCTTACAACCAGGGCATATTCCTAAACAAAGGTCAAGCTTGGAATCTTCTTTCCCAGAAACATCAGGTTGGAAAGGACTGTAAGGGTCATTTTATTTGGTGTTCTATACCTGCTTCCAGTTTGCTGACAGTTCCCCTCTTTTCCAATGATTCCGACATGTGATCAGCTAGCTTAGGGGTCAGCAACTGTAATCCATGGGGCCAGCAGCCCTGTTTGTGTAAATAAAGTTTTATTGAAACACAGCCATGCTCCTTCATTTACATATCATTTATGCCTGCTTTCACACCACAATGGCAGAGTTAAGCAGTTTCAACAGAGGCTGTATGGCCTACGGAGCCTAGAGTGTTTATAATCTAGCCCTTTAAGAAAGTTTGCTGACCCCTGCTCTAGCACATCCAGCGACAGAAGACACTCCCTCCTGACACTCCCATTCTCTCTTTGGATAGCTCTTGTCATTATCAAGTTCTTCGATTCACACTGAAGTCTGCCTTCCTGTTAAGTTCTGTCTTCAGACCATAGTATTCCTGGAATTATCCAGAATAATAGCCCATATTAATCAGACAGACCTCTTTTGCATGGAAAATGAACAGCCGGCTTAAGCAAAAAGAGAATGTATTGGCTGATATAACTGGAAAATTTAAGAAACTGGAGTTCTAGCTTCAGACATGGTTAGATCTAGCATCTGAAATAATGTTAGGGCTCTGTGTCCATGCCTCAGTTCTGTTTTCTGGGCTTCTATCTGCTTGCAGGATCTTTCCACAAAGTAGAAAGATGGCCACTGGCAGCCTTAGAGTCTCCTTTTTTCAATTTTGTAGCTCTAGAGCTAATAGAACATATTTCTTCTACCATCATAACATCAATCCCAGGGAAGACCCTTAGCGGCCCTGGTTACCTGCCATCCCTCACTGATCCTGAGGTCTAATAGGGTGGCATACTCTGATTGACAAGCTTAGGTTTTATACTAGGACTGACAGCCCTAACAGGACCACAGAGTTGGGAGTGGGTACCCCAAAACACTGAGCAGAAGGAAGACATGAGACAGCACTGGGCAAACAAAACCTAACTACCATAGCCTCCTACCTGGCCCCCTGGGGTCACATCACAGCCTCCTGTCCTCCCTTCCTCTGCCCTGTTCTTCTCTGTTTTAAAAACCTCCTCTTCTAGCCCCAGAGCCTTCCTTGTCTATAAAACGATAGCCTTGGCCTATCTGAACTCAAAAGGCCTTTCCTCTTTCCAGCACTGCCTTTTTGCCTTGTCCTTTTCCTGATTTTACCACTGGATTTACCTCTGCCTTGTCCCCTACCCCCACCTCTCATCAACTTCACCCCATCTCTCGCCATAAGAAAGCTTATGAAAGGAGAAATGGGGGTTGGGCCTGAAAACATGGCCTTCACCCCCAGATTGAGGATGTTTGACCTTAGGGAGAAGGTCTCAAAACAGTGAACTTTACTTTCTCCTGGGCTCCTAGCATTTTCTGACATGTGTGTGCCCGTGTGCCCTGGGACAGGCCCCACTCAGGCCCTGATGTGCTGGATAGGTCTCGATACCAAGGTTCCAGATGCACTTCACTTGGCCCAACAAACACCACCACCACACAGCTTCCCAGCCTCCCTGCCGAGGCCTCCAAACTCTACAGAGGAGTCCAAGAGTGCTTCAAGACAGACTCGCTGTAAGATGTTAGCAAAAGTAACCGGAGCACTCTCAGGAGGAGAAGGCTGTCGGCTGGGGTAGGCGTTTGGTGGCTCGCTCTCTTCCTTAATCTAGAAACTTTGGACCCCTCTCTCCTTCTGTCTGCTGCTCTAGCCATCCAGGGGTATCACTGTACTGTTCTGGGGACTGTGGAGGGTGAAGAAATGACACGACTGTGACCATTCCTACCTACTGCATTCTGGCCATGGCCCCTGAGGTCGCACCTGTCTCCCAGTGAGCTAGCTCCTAGGCCCTTTCCCTGGAAGAGTCTTGCCCCTCCTGCCCCCACCAGACGTGGCCTGGGCCAGTGGAGTTAGGCCTTGGGCTCCTAACTCTCTAGCCTCAGGTTCAAATCCCAGCTCCTCCTGCTTTCTAGCGGTATAACTGTGAATATCGATTAACCCCTCTGCGCCCAGTCAGTGACTTGGGCTAACAACCTCCCATGGTGGGCTAACAACCTCCCATGGTGGTCGTGAGACTCCAAGGCAGTGTGCAGGCCCTGGTATTGAAGTGTGGCTGTGGCTGTGGGCCCTGTTTGCCCCTCACTGCTCCCCTGGAGAAGGCCCGTCCTTGCCAGGCTTTAGCTTCTCCACGAGATCAGTGAGAAGGTGGCAGGCGGGCACTAAGCGTCCACTCCTCTTTTCTCTCCCCTACTCGTGCTGCAGTTGGACATCGTGGAGTTCATTCCTTCTCTCCTCTACTTTGGCTACACGGCCCTCATGGTCCTGTCCTTCTGGCTCCTCACGGGCACCATCGGCTTCTATGCAGCCTACATGTTTGTCCGCAAGATCTACGCTGCTGTGAAGATAGACTGATGGGGGTGGATCTTGGCCAGGCCCACTCCGTCCACGGACAGGAAGCCACCCTGCGTGGGGAGCTGCAGGCACGGAAAATAAAATAGCTCCTGCTCGTTTGGAATGTTACGTAACTCCTGGCACAGTGTGGATCCTGGGACTGTGTGGGGGGCGGGAGGGCCTGTAGATAAATCTTGCGTTCTTCTTCATCATCTTATTCCAGTTCTGTGGGGGGGTAAAGTTTTTGTGGTTTGTATTTTCTTCAGTGCTAAGAAAGTTCCCTCCAGCAGGAACTCTCAGACCTGTTTATTCAGGTTAATTTTTCATTTGGGGTTTTTTTCCTTCGTTTTTTAAACCAACGGATCCAGCATGGATACACCCACTGAGACTCTGGGTTTTGGTCACTCTCTCCACCTCAGTTCCTCAGGGCTGTTGGCCACCCCACGACTAACTGGAAAAGGAAACATGAGACCTTCTGGAGCTTCAGTGAGGTTTCTAAGCCTCTCACCGTCTATCCTTACATTGATGACGTGACCAGGACAGCTGTAGCCCGGATGTGCATCCTCAGTGCCAACCAGCCTCTACCAGCCCCTTTTCCTCTTCTTTTCCTCCCCAGCTTCCTCCCAGGGCTGCCCAAGGCCCGGCTTCCAGCCAGGTCTCCAGGTCATCTTGTCATCAGGAGCAAGCCCAAATCTTGGTTGCTACAAGGAAATCCCCTGGAAATACTGGGGGCCAAGTGCCCAGGATAGCAGGGTTCAAACCAGCTCAGAGCAGCAGGAGTTCGCTGGGCCAGAGAAGAGACTTGCAGTGAACTGTTTTCGTGCCAAGAAACCCTGGATCTGGATCCAGGTATTTCCAGAGCCAAGCCAAGCATCCACATGTCTATGTCTGGGCTGAGGGTCCTCACCCTTTAGGATTGTTCCCAGCTTCTTCCTCGGGGAATTGCTGCTCTTTGTAAAGTGTACTGGTGGTGGGGCCTCTCCTCCCCCACTTTGAGGGCAGAACAAGGTCTGGAGACCTCAGATCCCCCCCTTAGGCGGCTGGAGAGAGGCAGTCCCTCCCTGACATCTCCAGCCTCAGTGCCCATGCACAGTTCTTAGCCAGACCCATCTCCTCTTCCCCCGTCTGAGTTCTTGCCTCCCTTTGGGGACACGCAGAAATCTACAGATGAGAAGGAAGATGGAAAGTTCTGTCATTCCTTCCCCAGTCTCCCAAGTTAGAATGAGAGAACTAACATGGCAAACCTGGCTCCTCAGTCAACACTCACTCTTGGGGCCAACCCCCTGCCCACCCCACGCATGTCACAAGCATTTGCTCTTGAATTGCAAGAGACCAAACTCGCCCTGGGATTATGGTTTAGGTAACAATCACTTACCCTTTTTCTAGCCCCTTTGAGACTCCCACCACAAGACAAATGCTCAGGAGGCTGGTTAAGCTAGGAACATACTCAGCCCCCTTTCCCCGCCCAGATTCTTTCAGTGCCCCTGACCCCAACCAGCTCCACCAATCAAACCAGTGAAATTCTCAACCTTGCCTCACAGTGACTGCAGTGCCAAGTGGCAGCCACCAAGAATTAGGTTGGAGAAAAGGGAACCCAAGCAGTAGAGAATAATGAGTCTTGTTTATTTAAATCTTGGATTTTTTTTCCCTAAGAGATTCTCTTTGGGGGGCGGATAGGGAAACAGATTCATAAAGGGTTTAAACATCATCGCTTTTTCTGACTTTTTTAATCATCATCATTATTATTTTTAATTAAAAAAAAATGTCTGCCTTTTTTTGATCCAATTGTAAATAAATATGCCATTGTCCTGTTGTCATGTCTCTTGAATCTCTTGCAAGGGTTAAGGGTTTGAGGGGCAGCAACTTCTCCAAAGGGAAGTTGAGACGAGTAGTTTCCCTTAAAGCTCAGTGTCATGTCAGGCTTTTTAGGGTCCAGTCCACTGTCCCCCTGCCTGGTGCAAGTTCATAGCCTCTCTCTCCCATCTGCTCAGCCTCTCCATTCTGAATTACAAATATTTGCCCCTCTGATCCCACAAATTGGAAATGGTATTTAACTGTGACATTTGGTAGCAGTGAGATTTGGTTTTAGATTCCCAGTTCCAATATTTTACTGCCAACTCATTCCACCTCTGGCATGTAATACTCCTTCAATTGCAAGCAGTAGAAATAGGTCAGATTGGCCTTTTAAGTCATGAAGGAAAGGAATAATTGGTTTCAAGTCTGGATAGATCCCAGGGCTCGAAGGATAATAGCCTTAGGATTCTCCTTCTCTCTACTGTGCTGCTCTCTGGCCCATTCTGGCCCATTGTCAGGAGTCTTCTTCCCTGTGACAGGCAGACAGGGCATGGTAAAGATTGTTGTAGGCTTACATCGTCCAGTTTGGAAAGTCTAGAGGAGGAAGACATCTTCCCTACTTTAGTCTGTTTAATACAGATAAATCCCAGGAAAGGTGATGAGCTCAGCTTGGATTACTTTTTGTACATCTTGGACCAGTCATTATATCCAGGGATGTAGAGTACTATTATGGGCTGTGTTCTCTAAGAGTGGTGGCTACTGTGAATTTCAGCCCTAGCAGAATCATTTGGATAATGAGGGAAGAACAATTTCCCATGGTAAGGGATACAAAGCAACAAAAAGAACAACTATCTATTATACCCCCACCACCAACTCCAAACCAATTAATTTGCTCTAGTTTCTTCAGGTAAAAACAGATCATTTATTTGAAACCTTTTTTTCTGCTTCATAAAGGTGTTCAGTGCTATAAATTTCTTCCTAAGTACTGCTTTAGCAGCATCCCACAAATTCAGATATATTTTCATTGTCATTCAGTACAATATACTTTCTCATATCCATTTCATTTATTTGAGTCACATGTTTAGTTTCCAAATATTGGGGAATTTTTTTCAAGGTCCTTTCTGTTACTGATTTCTAATTTAATTCTAGTGTGGGCAGAGACCATAATAGGCAAAGCCATTTAAATTTGTCGAGACCTGTTTTCTGGCCCCAAATATGGTCTATCTTGGTAAATGTTTCATATATACTTGAAAAAAAAATGAGTATTCTGCTGTTTTGGGGTAGAGTATTCTGTAAAAGTTAGGTCATATTGGTTTGTAGTGTTAAAGTCTATGATATCCTTGCTAATTTTCTGCCTGCTTGTTTTATCAATGATTGAAAGAGGGGTATTGAAATCTCTGACTATAATTATAGATTTGTATATTCCTCCTTGCAGTTCTGTTTTTGCTGTATGTAATTTGGAACTGTTAGGTGCATATTGTTCTTTAGATGAATTTATCCCTGGTAATAGTTTTTGCTTTGAAATCTACTTTGGTATTAATATAGCCAGCCCTACTTTCCTTTGACTAATGTTAGCACAGTACAACTTTTTCCATCCTTTTAGGCTATTTGCATTTACATTTAAACTGTTTCTTATAGGCAGTGTAGTTTGGTCTTGCTTTTTTATCCAGTCTTACAATCTCTACTTTTTAACTGGAGTATTTACACCATTTACATTTAATGTGATTTGATTAGGTCTGAGTCTGTAATCTTGCAATTTGTTTCCTACTTGTTCCATCTGTTGTTTCCTTTTTCCTTTTTCCCTTGCCTTCTTTTTGGATAAATCAAGTATGCTTTGCATTTTAATATTCTTTATTAGTTTATTGTCTGTAACTTTTTGTTTTGGAATTTTAGTGATTGCTTTAGGCTTTGTAGTATGTATCATCAGTGTTATAGTTTGCTTTTAAGTGATACTATACAACTTCATATATAGTATAAGAACCTTACAATAGTACACTTTCTACCTTCCCATCCTTTATATTATGGTTGTCATTCCTTTTTACTTTTATATATGTTACAAACCACACAATATACTGTTGCTGTTTTTATTTAAACAATTATCTTTTAAGAATTTAAATAAGGAAAAAATCTTTCATATATACACAGATAGTTAACCATTTCCAGTAGTCTTCATTCCTTTGTATAGATACAGTTTCCATCTAATATCATTTCCATCTGCCTGGAAGACATCCTTTATCATTTCTTGTAGTGAGGATCTGCTGATGAGGAATTCTTTCAGCTTTCGTATGTCTAAATTGTCTTAATTTTACTTTTGTTATTGAAAGATATTTTTGCTGGGTATGGAATTTTAGGCAAAAATATTGAAAAATATTTTTTTCTTTTTTAGTACTTGCACTGCTTCCAACAACATATCTGATGTCCTTATCTTTGTCCCCTCTATACATAATGAGTCTTTTCTCTCCACCTGCTTTTTCTGTGGCTCTGGTTTAGAACTATTTGATTATGGATGCCTTGGTATAGTTTTCTTAATATTTCCTGTGCTTAGAGTACATTGAACTTTTTGGAACTGCATGTTTATTGTTTTTAGTAAGTTTGGAAAGTTCTGGGTCATTATTTCTTCAAATGATTTTTCTGTCCCCCATCTCTTTCTTTTTCCTTCAGCAATTCTGATTACCTATATGTTAGCCTGCTTGTATCCCACCCACTGATGACTCTTTTCTTTTTCTTCCCTTTTTTTGTAAAAAAAAAAAAAATCTTTTTTTTATATGCTTCATTTAAAATAGCTTCTATTGCTATGCCTTTAAATTCACTAATCTTTTGCCATGTCTGCTCTGCCATTAATCTCATCCAGTGTGGTTTTCCTCTCAGACATTGTCTTTTTCGTCTCTAGAAATTTGATTTAGGTCATCTTTTGATGTCTTCCATGTTTCAACTTTTTATTGTGTAAGTTATACAAAACAAAATTTACCGATGTAATTTTTTTTTTTTTAATGCCTACAGCACCTGGTCTTCCTAGGTGGTCTCCCATCCAAGTATTAACCAGGCCCGATCCTGCTTAGCTTCTGAGATCAGACAGGATTAGGTGTTTCCAGGGTGGCATGGCTGTAGACCCATTGTAACCATTTTAAAGTATACAATTTAGTGTCATTAAGAACATTCACAATGTCATGCAACTATCACAACTAGTCATCTCCAAAACTTAGTCATCATTCCAAACTGAAACTCTGTACCCATTAAACACTAGCTCTCCATTCTCTTTTCCCTCAAGCCCCTGATAACCATTCACATTTAATGTGATTTGGCTACTCTCTGTCTCTATGGATTTGACTACAGTAGAATCATACAATACTTGTCCTTTTGTGTCTGACTTATTTTACTTAGCATAATGTCTTCAAAGTTTATCCACATTATAACATGTATCATAATTTTGCTCCCTTTTAAGGCTTAATAATATTCCATCGTATGGATATACCACATTTTATCCATTTGTCCACCAATAAAAATTTGGATTGTTTTCACCTTTTGGTTATTGTGAATACTACTACTATGAACATTGATGTTCAAATATCTGTTTGAGTCCATGCTTTCAATTCTTTTATGTATATACATAGCAGTAAAATTGCTAGATCATGTGTTAATTCTATGTTTAATTTTTTAAGGAACCATCATACTGTTTTCTACAATGGCTGTGCCGTTTTACATTGCCGCAGCGATGCATGAATGTTCCAATTTCTCTACATCCTTACCAATACTTTTTTTTAAAAATAATACCCATCCTAGCAAGTATAAAGTAGTATTTTGCAGTTTTGATTTGCATTAGTGATTAGTGATGTTGAGCGTATTTTCATGTGCTTATTGGCCATTTGTATGTCTTCTTTGGATAAATGTTCAAGTCCTTTGCTCATTTTTTAATTGAGTTGTTTGTTTTTTGTTACTGAGTTGTATAAATTTTTTATGTATCCTGGACATTAGTCCCTTATTAGATATGTGATTTGCAAAATATTTTCTCTTATTCTGTTGGTTGCTCATACATTCCATTGATAGTTGTCCTCTGATATAATTTTGATGAAGCCCATTTTATCTATTTCTTTTTTGCCTGTGCTTTTAGTGTCCTATCTGTTAAGTCATTGCCAAATCCAATGTCATGAAGCTTTTCCCTTGTGTTTTCTTCTAAGAATTTTATAGTTTTAAGGTTTTACATTTAAGTCTTTGATCCATTTTGAGTTAATTTTTGTGTATGGTATAAAAAAAGTGGCTACCTTTATTCTTTCCTATGTAGAAAACCAGTTTTCTCAGCAACATTTGTTGAAAAGACTGTTTCTTTTCCTCATTGAATGGTTTTGGCACCTTTGTCAAAAATCATTTGACCGTATATGTGAGGCTATACTTTTTTAACATACAGAATGCAAGTATAACTTCTAATGTCCTTATCTGCTCATTTTAACATCTGTTCAGTTATGGGCTGGAGTTTGATTGCTTATTTTTCTCATTGTGGATTTGTTGCCTGCCACTTTATAGGCCTGACAGTCTTTGATTGGATGCCAGATATTGTAAGTTTTACCTTGCTAGGTGCTGGATATTTTTGTAATCCTGTAGATCCTCTTGAGTTTTGTTCTGGAACAGTTAAGTTACTAGAAACAGTTTAATTTTGGGGGAGGGGTCTTGCTTATAAGATTTTTTTAAAGGCAATTCCATAAGCAGTACTTATTCTAGGGGTAATTATTGACCACTCCTGAGGCAAGACTTTTCTAAGTATTCTCCCCAATACCTCATGATATTCTCCCCAGTGCCTTGGCTGGTTGGAATAGACATTATTCCCTTTAATACTTCCTGATGAATCTTTATGTAGCCTCAGGTAGTTTCCCCACATGCTTGTGCTGATCAGTTTTCTGATGAATACTCAAAGGGACCATGTGCAGATCTCTCTCTCTCTCTCGTATTCTGCCCTAGAAACTTATTACCTTGGTCTGCCCAGGCTCTCAGCACTGTCTCCTCAACTCAGAGAGTGTGCTGGGCTCC